TGTAGTTCTGATAAGAGCTGTTCTCTCAAGGGCAGTTCTGTCAGAGCTCTCTCAGCCCCACCTACCTCACAGGCAATGTTCCCTCTAAGCTGAGTTAGTGTGAGCTAGCTCACAGTTTTTTAGCCTCTGGCTCACAGACTTTTGTCTTAGCTCAGGAAGGATGCCTCCAGAGCAAACTAATTTATGCAGTAGCCAAATCGCTCACTCACAACTTTCATGCCAGTAGCTCACAAAGTAGAATTTTTGCTCACAAGACTCCATACTTTAGAGGGAGCATTGCTCACAGGATGTCTGTTGTGGGGAGGGGAAGGGAAAGAAGACTGTAAGCCGCTCTGAGTGAAGGGTGGGGTATAAATCTAATCTCTTCTTCTTCTAGTGATGTTGGTCTGACAAGGAAGAGCCAGATTCGAGTCCAGTAGAGACCAGCAGGATTTTTGCGGTGTAACTTCTTCTACAGATAGAAGTAGGAATGGAGAGATCCCGGAGTGATATAAGGGGATATATAAGGATCTCCACTCCCACTTATATCTGACGAAGGGATGAAAGCTTATGTTCTAACAAGGGTCACCGTCTGCTATGTGAAGCCTGTCCTTGGTTCAAAGGCGCTCATCCCTTTGGCTTGCTTGTGACATTAAAGGTAACTCGGTTCCATCTCTGGAGGCCACCCGATACCCTTTTGTGTTGGATAAACAAAAGCCCAGATTGTGTTACTTACCTGCTTTGTTGGCGTCTGCTCAAGAGCTCCTTGAAAGCTGAGAAGCTTGGAAGTAACTACCGCTTTCGGTGGTGCTTGCAGAGACCTAAAACTCATGGGACTTTTAGATTCCAGTGTCTTCCTAGAGCTATAGACCAGTTGCTTAAAAGTACAGTTGCTCTTCGTCATTTGGGGTGTGTCTCCGGGGGCTGACGGAAGATGGAACTGGACCCAAAGGCAGAATTCATCGCTGGGTCACCTCTGAACCGTTGTAAAACCCAGTGGGCAATTTCAAGGGGTGGGGGCGGCATCGCAACCTACTGGTTTCCTCTCCACAGCCCTTCTCTTCAGGACATTTTTTCCTCTTCTTAGTTGAGTGTATTGGCTGTCCTGAAGCCACAAAAGGGTTTGGCACTCCCCCCCCCCTCTCCTTCTGCCCCCTGCTAGAAATTCTGCCGTCTCCCCACTTTTTAACTCTTCCGGGCAGCCCGTATTTGACGTCGCCAGCCCCCCCCCCCCCCCCCCCCCTCCTCCGCTGCCTGGGGAAATATTTCCCAGGCAGCCTGGCTGCTGTTGACTCCTCTTCGTTCTTGGCATCTCCCTGTGAAATTTCCTGCTCTTTCAGTCCTGAGGGAAGGTGGTTCCATGGAACGGAGCAAAGGCTCGTGTTCCACTTCCTGTGACAGCTGATGGGAGAGAAGACGAGGAAGACCTGTTCACTTAATCCTCCGCCCCGTTTCCCTCGTCTTGTGTGTTAATTTGCAGAATCTTCTGCGTGTCCTTTTCTGTATGGCCAGATTCTCTAGCAGCCCTCTAGCCTGCCCCTTCACATGCGAGGGAAAGTTTATGGGCACGCTGAGGAATAGGTGTCATGTAAGCCAGTTTCAGAAGATTCAGGGAGTCTTGCCCTGGCCTGGATAGCCCAGGCAGGCCCAATCTCGCCAGATCTCGGAAGCGAAGCAGGGTCGACTCTGGCAAGTACCTAGATGGGAGACCTCCTTGGAATACCAGAGGCAGGAGGCGGGGGCAGGCTTTAATCAGCCACCTCTCTGAGTGTCCTCCAGGCTCCCAGTAGGGGTCAATCACCAAAGGTCACCGTGACTTCCAGGTGCACACGCACTCACATGTGCACACACATGTACCTATAAAAAAATACAAAAAAATAATTGAGAAAAAAAAGATTCAGGGAGTCTCAAAGTAAGCTTATGGAAATAAGGACCTCTGAGATATTTTTTTGTTGTTCCTCCTAACCTGATGCATCCTTTCATCCTGTTTGCTGTCCTCCCAATTGTTTGGGAGGGGGCTTAAATGTGACAGTACATTTGAGGACTTGGCTTCCTAGCCGCTTCTGGAATGACCAGCCCATCTGCAGATTCCTAACTGTGCTGCCGTGTCTTTGTCCGCGGTTAGGTTCACCCCGAGAACGAAGACTGGACGTGCTTCGAACAGTCTGCCTCTCTTGACATCAAGTCATTCTTTGGCTTTGAGAACACAGTCGAGAAGATTGCAATGAAGCAGTACACGGCTAACATCAAGCGGGTGAGAAATGCTTGTGACCGACCTTTGTGGTATTGCAGGGTTTCTGTGGGAAAACGTCAGACTGAAGAAGTCGAGCAGCTTAATTCTGATTTCCATTTTATTACCTGCATTTATGGTCTTCTACCTTCTTTTTTTCCTTTTGGAGTCACAAAGGTGAACTATAGGAATCATACATAAACAGCTTTAAAGGGGGAGTAGATAGATTCATGGAGGATAAGTCTGTCAGTGGCTCCTAGCCATGGTGGCTGGGGGAACCTCCACTAAGACTCTGAATCCCAGAGCCAGGAGGCAACATCAGGGGAAGGCCTCGGCTTCTCTGCCCTGTTGTTGACCCTCCAGAGGAACTGGTTGGCCACTGTGTGAGACAGGAGGCTGGACTAGAAGGACTGTTGGTCTGATCCAGCAGGGCTCTTCTGATGTTCTTATGAGGGGAAGGCCTCAGCCTCTCTGCCCTGTTGTTGGCCCTCCAGAGGAACTGGTTGGCCACTGTGTGAGACAGGATGTGGGACTAGATTGACTATTGGTCTGATGATCCAACAGGGCTCTTCTGATGTTCTTATCAGGGGAAGGCCT